GGGAATGTAAAAGCAACGCGAATAGATGGTGATTCATATATACGTTAATATAATATAATACGCGTGAGACAGGACATCGGACAATTGAATGGGTGTAATAATACAGCAGAGAGTATACATAGCAAAGTAGCATGTAGAGGTTGGTTGGGGCGCAGCATCATCGGGTCAAGTGGCGCGCGAGAAAGAAAGGAGTTGGATGCCGCAAAGGAAGAGTCATATAATCCGCGAGCGCCATCGGGCAGGTATAAAATGTGTATATATATATACATAGAGGAGGGAGGGGGGGTAACCTCTCCCGTGCGGTATATAACAGTATATTCGTCCGAAAGCGAGTCGCGCCGCGACAATAAGCACGCAAACCCGTTACACGTCGAATCGGCAGGTATACGTATATAAAGAGGAAAAGAAAAAAAAAAAAAAAAAAAAAAAAACGCCAAGTTGAGCTCCGAGAGCTGACCCATTGATGCTCGTCATCGTGCGTTGCCTTTTCTTACCTGTGTTTGCTCGGTCATCCAATGTTGGTATATATATAAGTATACGAGTTGTAAAATCATACCCTCTCCCATGTGAGAGGTCGTGCGTGAGTTTTTATACACACACAACTGTAAATTTAAACGTTTCAAGCATTTGGTATTGTTGAAATGTTTTTCTTCTTTATATACACGTAAACTGCATTGCGATGTATGTAAGCGCTGATAAAAGAATTTTAAAAACAAACGAATCTTTTTTTTTTTTTCGCGAGTATCTCAAAAAGGCTAGCTGAAGATGAGGATCAAAAATTTCTGTCACATAATTTGTTTGCACACTTGCATGAAGTACTCGTTAAATTTGCAAGTTTTTTCAATCCACGCAGCCATCGTGTGTTGGGTTTTCTCGTCAAAAAAATGATCTATTTGGTTGAACTATATAGATAAGACACTTGGTGCGCACCATATAGATTTAGTTGTTCACACTTGGATTTGCAGTGCCCGTGAAATCGCAAATTCCAATTGTCAACTATTGTTTTACCCTTGCGATACACCTGTGCTCACAGTCTACAAAGTGCCCTCAAAATGATTTTCAATCATCAAACCAATAATCCGTCCCTCGTAAAATCGGTGCACATACCGATACATGTATATACATGTACAACTCGCGAGTCCACGATTTCATTGTCGATTCGATTGAAAAGTAAATCAACCGCTCGTATACGTGCAATTATCATGCGCACGCGTGTGTGTATACGGTTATATGTGTATGTACATGTATTACGTTTCATTACGTAACAGCGCTCGTTTCTGCAGTTACGTGTACAGAGATTGATGAAAAAGATAATCGGCCTAATGTGCTTGTGGCGGAAAATCGGCGCTTTGCCTTCCGATGATGGTCGAGAAGCTAATCGGCCTATTGATTAATTTAACGCTATACAGTCAATTTGGATTGGTTTTTGTACTTTTTGCGTTTTTTCCCCGCACATTTACCTGCAGCCACAAAAATAAAAGGAGACGGGACTCGCTACGGTGCGTATATAATAACTCAAAAACAATAAACCCATCGTCGGAGTCACACGCGCAGGGTATATAGGTATATATACCGATGGCAGATATGCCATTTTCCTCCACGGACTTTCCCGCCGGTCTTTACACAAGATGGGTATTATATGAATGGTGCGAAAGAAATTTATATAACGAGTTGGGTCCCGTATACGGCGAGAGTGCGTAAGTCGGCGGATTCGACGAATTCCCACACGCCGCGATACAATATACACTCGCCGTGTTTTTTTTTTTTTAATACCCGAAGCGTCGGGAAACATACCCCCCCTGTCTTTTCTTAGGGGAGATAGGAAGTTGATTCTTCCCTCCACGCGTCTATTGTACAAATTGGACTTTCGAGGCGGACGCGCTGCACAGTGTGTTTCCATCTCCCATGAGTAACGCGGGACTTTCTTGCCATTATAGGCGGAGTATATAATACGAGCCCGGAGAGAAATTACTTTTTGTTTCGGCAGAGTCACACTCTCTTTTTTTCTCTCTCTCTCTCTCCCCGCCCACCTTAGCTTGGGACCCTGCTGCCGTTGTTCCCGTTTTTTTTTTCGCGAAGCATCAATTTCCTCTCGACGTTTCCACGTGGAAAAGGATGCAGGCACGAATGGGAAATGAAAACAAAACAAAAAAAAACATGCTTTTTCACCGCCAAGGTCTTTGAACCGCACCGGCGTTTGGGCATGTGGTTATTTAAAATTTTACGCTTCGCTCGACATTATATACCTAAACTATGGCGCGCTTTGCATTCAATGTGAATTTGCATCGAATGCGAGAGCTCGGGCTGTTGTTGGAATTATGTATCTCGAAAGCGCAAACAAGCATATATTTATGTACACGTATGCAAGGGGACGCGATTTTATTTAGCCGATGTGGCCCGAGCGTGTGTATAAATAATTGTTGTAACATTTGTCGTCCGTCGCGTTACACGCAAACACAAGTGGGGAAAGATTGCGATGTTAATTTATATACACTGCGCAGCTCCAGTTTTCCTTTTTTTTTTTTTTCGGGAGAGCGGGGAGGAAAATCGAGATCGGCGAATTAATTAAATTACCCGGGCAATTGGAAAACCGAAAAAAAAAAAAAAAAAAGTCGCAGACATGCATCTCCGCGCATGTACGCGTATACATATTCTTAATTAGGCCGCGGGCCGTTTAATAAGATCAAATAAATTGAACGGCTGCGGCGCTCTCGGAGCGTAACCGACACACTGTAACAGTTTGAGTTTCGCCGGGGCACTCTATTTCGCGTTTTTTTTTTTTGTTTTTTTTTTTCTGCGCCTTTTTTCTTTTTCATTTTCTCTCCAAAGCCGCGAGCGCACTTTCAAAGCTGCAGTATATACACATGCACGCGTGTATATACATATAACGTAACGACCGGGCACGACACGTGCGTGTCTCTACGTATGCGATGTATACCGGCTCGCGCATGAATTTAACTTCTCATTAACCTTCTTTTGAGGCTCATACGCAGCGTATAATGGACGTACCTACACGTATAATAGACACCGTTTACTCGTCAAATTTTCTCAAACTTACACGTGAGTTTTCACGATTTTCGAATGTTTGTGCGGTCGAGTGTTGAATTAAAAAAAAAAAAAAAAAAACCGAAATTAACGCACTATTCGCTCTGTATTTACCAAAAAACAAATACAAACCAACCGAGTACAATTGGAGACAAAGACCATTATTTTCTGCCACGTAATTAATTATTCATGCATGTTTATTATACAGGTAACAACAGAGCGAAGCAAAAGCACGCCCGTATAAAGTTTTCCGCAAATCAGCGAAAGAATGCAAGCGACACAATAACGTATATATAATAAGTATATATAAATATACACAAGATCAACATTGCCCCTAGCGCTATGTGGTAATAAGTGAGCAATCGGCTCGCGCTGCACCACATAGTGTTGTACATACCTTATAAGCCCTGCAAGTGCCCATCATCCGCGGGGAGCACCGGCTCTGGGAGTCAACATTTATCTGCATATGTTGGGGGTAGGTATATAAGTATCGCTGCTTTGGGACGCGGTGTACGGAGAGAGAGAGAGAGAGAAAAAACCGCGAAAGTGAAAGGCGCGGAATTCCACGCGGTACTGTGGGTATATATACGTAGCGCAAGATATAGCGGCTCGCTTCCGAGGGGAGAGCACCTCTACAATATATATACACATTATACCTCGCGACGATATGACGAGCACGTGTGAGCAGCTACATAATAATAATATTATGTCCATGTATATTGATGCGTGGGTATAACATTATGTATCGATTTTCTAACGTAATGTAAATAATGTGTGATGTATAAATATATATGTACGGAGGTAACGGCTGCATCATCAGGCGTCGGGTTAATTCGATCGAAATTAACGACTGCATTCTATAAGCTGCGGCTCTTGCGCGCGCGCCGGTTGCCCGGCTTTCTGGCACTAACGACTTCCCCTCTAGGTATAAATGAGAGAAAAAGACATGCATGCAATGGGTTATACACATGCGTAAATATACCCACGCTCCGTTGGGCAATAGCCGCGTAACTTTCTTGCTGCTGCGGTTTACATTAAAGCATTACCTTCTTATTCGAATTATATGGGCGACTACGTGTCATTTGCATACGGTATCGTCATACGCGAGATTTTATTCTTTTTTGTGCAAATGCGTATTGATTTCGTGCAATGCGGTGGTAATTTAAGGGGTTATTATAACAGAGAAGGGCAAACGTGTAACAATCATCGGAACCTATACCCGATCGATTATTGACGTATGGATAAAAAAAACGCGGTTTATCGGCGTGAGTAAAAAAAAAAAAAAAAAAAAAAAAGGAAGTAGTAAAAGGATGTCGTGCGCATCCACGCATGTTTGGACCAATGAACATCTTACACACATATATCCAAATAGCAGCAGCACCAGAGCTAGAATCTCGGCTCTTATTAGTGCGTGGATGCACGAACAGCTACATAGACTCGCGGCGCAACAGCTGCAGCGAAATAATAATGCGGTTTTCAAGCTCGAGATACTCATATGTATGGGTATATATTTATATATAGGCGTTATAAATGGGCACGCGAGTGTCCGCCTTGCCAAGTGTTCCGCGTCCCAATCTCCCGTGCCATCATCACCTGTATAGGTACATACTTATGCGTGTTAAACGTCCAAACGCTTATAAAATGCTCGCGTGCCGGTATACACGTGTACTTATATATATATACACATACCAAGCCATGCTTGTACAAGTACTCATCTTATGCTCTGCTGCGACTACTCGCACTAATTATTGTGCTCGTGTATGTACCAGGTATACTTGCGGGTTTGGGCACAATAAAATCTGGACCATAAAGCAAAAAATTGGCACGTACGGAGTATATTATAATCGAGTGCTCGTTCATTTATCTCGCCGTCCATATAACTAAATGGCAACCCATATCAATTGTAAAATAGTATTAAAAATGCTCCTCGTAATTGCAATGTCATTGTTTCGCAGGATCTTTGGCGCTGCTGTTGGCCGTACTGTTAGCAGTGCTCGGAGGTGCTCCTGCAACCGAGGCGAGCTCACCCTGCCCGTGGTCGTCGTCCACGTCAACGTCAACCTTGTCGCAGCAGCAGCAGGCACTGGACGACCTGGAGAGCAGCTGCACCTGCGACTACAACCTCGCCCGCGAGCTCTCCGTCCAGTGCGACGCGCTTGGTGGGTTTGCCGAACCTAATACCTTTAGTATTCAATTTTACCGATGCTATAGGCATCCCCAATCATCACGCAGTTGATCTCGATCCATTTATCTCAGAGTCCTTTGAATAGCTTTTATTAGCAGCGTCTACCTTGAATTTCAGCTATCGACTTTCTTTGCGCGCAAACGATACAAATTCACGAAGAAAATGGATATACAAATTATACTCAAATCGATAATATAAATATACATACTCGAGTCTAACACACTTGAGAGGCTCATATAATATACAGTTCCTTTTTGATTAAGCTCGACTTACTCAAACTCTGGCACTTCCGAGCTCAAACGCTGTTTTACAGTTCATTTTGGTATTCGTTATATGTATATACAATTAGCTCTGACGATCTTTGGCAAACGTAGAGCTCTGATTTGACAGTAGCTCTCTAGTATCTGTGCCCATAGCTTTAAATATTTTCGATGTATACTTGTCTCTCAACGCAGTCCAGATGCGAGGATTTATTATTTTCAATGATTGATTTCTCCAGGGGACGCGTGGACAAAGAGCCCCGGCTTCTCCGGGTCCTCGAGGGCCAGCGTCGACTTTGACCAGCTGCTGTCCGGCCTGAGGCGGTTCGCCTCGAACGGCTCCCAGGGCGGCCGGATCGACCTGCTCTACGTGAACAACAGCACGATCGGGCAGCTGCGCAACGGGTCCTTCACCGGGTTGCGCATAGCCAACCTCCAGCTAAGCGGCTGCCGGCTCAGGGCCCTAGAACCCGAAGCCCTGGCCGGGCAGGAGCCGAGCCTCCGGAGCCTCAACCTCCGCGACAACGAGCTCCAAACCGTGCCCCGCGAAGCCCTGGCTGGGCTCAAGAACCTCACCGTCCTCGACCTCTCGCGCAACAAGCTCGGCCGACTGGGCGAGGCGGCCTTCTCCGGCCACAAGCTCGTCACCCTCAAGCTCGCGGGCAACACCGAGCTCGGCCTCGAGCCCGCCACCTTCCGAGGCCTCGAGGCCAGCCTCAAGAACCTCAACCTCATGGGCACGCGCCAGAGGAGGCTGCCCGAGGCTTTGCGTGGTTTGAGGGCCCTGGCCTTCCTCGACCTCTCGCAGAACAGCATCCGCGAGCTCGGGGGTCCCGATGGCTTTCAGGGCCTCACCGCGCTCACGGGGCTCAACCTCGAGCGCAACCTCATACAGGCCATCGGGCCCGACGCCTTTGCCGGGGTCAGCACGACCCTCAGCTCGCTCAGTCTGCTCAACAACCTCATACCCGAGTTCCCCAGCAGCGCCGTCGCCAGTCTCAGGGAGCTCAAGGTGCGTATGATGCCCCTTTCAATTACTTTACTACGAGTATTTCATTTTCCGAGTTTCCTTACTTTTCAATTCCCAGTTTCATTTCATATCATAACTGCTTTTTTTTGGATAATAATACATGCATCGATTGATGATGCAACCAAGTAGTGAACGAGCACAAATTTTGCAACTTTTTTTTTTTTTTTTTTTTTTTTTTTTTACTTTTGCACTAGTGAATAAGGCCGTTACTTACAAAGTACTGGATTCAAAAAACAACGGTTTGTCAATAATTTTTTACGCGACTAATACTACATTGTTTCCGATTGCAGGCTCAGTATTGACGTAATAATTAAAATATATTTTTAGCAATGTGTATATTGTATTAGTCCAAATATAAAATAAATGTTAAAAAAAGTAGTAGACAAACAATTTGGCGAAACGTATACAAATCCTCCCAGATTAATTTACAAGGAGGAAAACTCGGCGCGAATTTTTTACATTTGAATCGAGGCGGATCTCTTATGCAAGTATGACGATTCATTTCCTAGGCGAAAAATCAAGCGCGGTTTCGCGATGAGATCGAATTTCCCCCCCCCCCCTCCACGTCAGCGGTGTGTAACGAAATTTTCTCCAACGAAGAAAAAAGAAACATCTAAGTATACCTATCCCACCGTCCCGTAAAAGTGATGGCCTCTGCTCCGCGGCGCACGAAAAATCAAAAGAGCCCGTGTTTCACTCGAATGTAACACAAACTCGAGGTGTCTTTCTCTTTTCTCACACTATGTGACGACATACATATAACACGTACAACGCACGGGGGACACATACCCTATAATGTATACATATTTCATTACATTGTGCGCATCATTTCGACACGCGCAAAAAGTTCTCATCTGCTGTTCCCACAAAAGTCAACGACACACGCGCTCGTATACAAACAAATGGAAGAAAGGAGGGGGGGGGGAGCAAAAAAATCATCCCACAAACACCCATCGGTACTATATGTGTATATAAACAGGTGCTGGACATCGGTTTCAACCTGATGACCGAATTGCCGGTGCGGGCGTTCGAGAACAACCCGTCGATAACTCTGCTGGCGATAGACGGTAATCCGATGTCGACGGTGCCCGAGGAGGCCTTCGCGGGACTTAACGGCACATTGCGGGGCCTCAGTCTCGGGGGCCGGTTTCTCGTGTGCGACTGCAAGCTCAGGTGGATCATCGAGTGGATACGCAGCAGGGACCTACAGGTCACGAGCCGCGAGAGCAAACCCCAGTTTTGCGGCAGCCCGCAGAGGCTCCAGGACAGGAGTTTCTACACCATCAAACCCGAAGGTCAGAGCTATGCGTTTCTTTTTCTTTTCTTTCCTTCATCCTTGAATTGCGCTATTTGTTTATTCCACAGCTAAAATTATCGTTTTCACTTTCGCGCAACCTGTATTTTGCGTGTGTACCATATACAGGTTGCTTGCGTAACTATATATTTATACTGGGAGATTAAACGTACGCACGGCGAGTCCTGATGCGATTCTTATGCTAATGAAACCGCGCGCTCGCGAATTCGTACGTCATATATACATACGCATCGATGTGCGGCTGCCCACGTGCCATTTTTTTTTTTTTTTTTTTTTTTACACGATGGAAATAAAAAAAAGTATGAGTCACGCGTCAAGTGGTTTCAAAATCTCCGAAGAGCGCGCAAAGTACATAGTTTTCTAATGCAAAGTGACTCTAACCGTTGTATGTACAATATACTTATATACAGAGCTCTGAGAATTCCAGCATCTCGTTGGAAACAATGCAGCTCGTATTATTTGCAAATTTGTGTTTCTTCACAAAGTAGAAAAGAAAAATACTGACTACAACGAAATCTTGCAGAGATGGATTGCGACCGTCAAACGGAGATCGTGGGCATCGGGACGGTGGAGCCCGTGGAGCCGACCGGGGCACTGCTGGACGCCATAGAGAACGGCCAGCAGCCGCCCGCGATAGCCCCGAGCCCCGGACCCATCAGCAGCAGCACCTACAGGCCCAGCTCGACCTATGAGACCAGCACGGCCGCGAGTAGCAACGGCGTGGCGACCCACACGCCGACGACCCTGATGGCCCAGCCGAGCAGCACCAAGCGCCCGAGCAACAACGTCTTCGTCACGAGGACGAGCATAGCCCCGAGGCCGCCCCTGGTCCAGGGCTCCCACGCGTACAGGAGCAAGGCCCACGGCAACATTGCCATCAAGGACGTCCTCAGGCACGACAACTCCCTCATCATACGCTGGGACACCGAGGCGCCCGCCCTCGGCTTCCGCGTCGTCTACAGGGCGTTTGGCGACATGGCCTTCCAGTCCGGGGCGCCCCTTGGCAACAACGAGCGCGAGTTCAAGATCAAGAACGTCCCTGCACCGGTGAGTCCTCCATTTTTTGCTCACTATACAGACCAAATTGACCCAAAATTTTGTAACAACAACAAATTTCCTTGGCAGGAGTGCCTGATCGTGTGCGTGCTCGGGGCGGAGGAGGTGGGCTCGATAACCCCGGCCAACGTGCCGTACAGCCAGTGCAAGGAGGTGCGGATCGAGGCGCCCCCGGCCTCCTCGAACCTAGACCGGCTGGCCATAGCGGGCTGCGCCATCATCCTCCTGACCATCGTCCTCGTGGCGGTGGTCTTTTTGTGCGCCAATCGCTTCAGACGGCGGGCGAGCTCCCGCAAGTTGCACACGCTCCACGAGCCGGGTGGCAAGTTACCGATCGCCGGACTGCCGGTCAACTGTTGCTCGAGCCTCGTTGGTGGTCCAACGCCCAGTCCCGGTGGTCCCTTGCCGGGCACCCAGGCCTCCCTCAGCGCCTACAGCGTCCAAAAGGAGTGGGACCAGCTGTCGGCCTACAGCACGCGCAGCATACCCCGGCCCCGGATCTTTCCCGTCGAGAGACAGGCCTCGGTCACCAGGGCCTCGTGCCTCGAGGAGCCCCCCTCGCTCAATGGCACCACCGGCCACCACCACCATCCCAGGCCGGCACCCCACTACTTCCCCTCCGCCACCATAGGCTCGAGCTTCGTTGGCCTTGGGACCGCCCGAGCAGGTGTTTTATCATTTCTATAACATACATTCCTCCTCTCTTTTCCACTTTCGTTTTTCATTTCTCCATGTATGTCTTTCGTTCCATGGGTCTCTCGTTCGTTTCAGCCTATACCCCATGCGAAGCGCGCTATTAGCTACCGTCTATGATCTATCTCTGACTCTGTCTCTCTGACGACGCCCGACGCCCCTTTCAGAGCTCCGGCACTCGAGGCAGTCCCTGGCCGCGGCCTCGGAGCGGATGGCTCGGGGCCCATATGGCTCCTCGGTCCAGTTGGCGCCCCACCACCAGAGTAGCGCCCGGAGGCAACGGCCACGCTCGCGGACCCGCGCCGGCATGGAGCCCGGCATGCCCCGGCCGGGTAGTCGCTACAGCCTGGCCGAGTCCACGCACACGCTCAACAACTACGACGAGGGCAACTGGACGGACCACGACATGGACATCTACATGGCCCGGCCGACCCAACGCGGCGGCCTAGTGCCCATTTGAGACTACGTTGTCGCGCGTCGATCTCTTTTTCGGCAACGCGTCCTTGACGTTGTTGTTTTTGTTGGTGCACGAGATTCATGAACAATTTCTTTTTTTTTTTTCTGTTTGTTATCCACACTACTGCGGTACTGTTATCCACACTTTTTTTTGTATTTTTATGTCATTTTTTTTTTTTTTTCTTTTCTAAGAATGTTCGTCTTTGCGAGTGTTTCTCGTTTGAAATACCTATACATAGAATATTGTTATGTAAGATAAACCAGTTTAAAGTGCAATAACACAACTCATTGAGTCAGAGGCGATCGGTTTTATCTATCTCTATAGGTATGATGCTCCTTGAATGTGTGAGCAAAACGGCACCGACTGATTTATATTTTACGTAGGACCCCGAGCGCTTACGAAAAAAAAAAAAAAAAAAAAAAAAAAAAATGCTCATCGGTGCAGCACTCGTTCGATAGTCTAAACTATCTCACCGCATCAATTTATATTTTTCTATCAAGTCAAGAAGGATTGGCTCTCTCTTTCTTTCTTATCGTGCACATAGCTAGCAACAATTTGATTAATGTAAAGAAAAATTGGTGCAAAAATAATTTAGCTAGGGATTCGTACACTTGGGCATCTGTAATCGGCCAAAGACTGCATTGAGCGAAGAGAAAAATAAAACCAGTAGTACTTCGCCTTGGATTACGATGACATTATTATAGTATAAATAAAAAATACATTAGATAAAATATTGTACAATAAAATATTTTTAAGAGATAGGGACATCGTTTTAGATAAGAAATAACACGCTTCATCGCATAATATTCATCGAGTTGTTTTTATATATACGTATACAAACAAATGGAAGAAAGGAGGGGGGGGGGGGCAAAAAAATCATCCCACAAACACCCATCGGTACTATATGTNAAAAAAAAAAAAAAAAAAAAAAAAAAAAAAAAAAAAAAAAAAAAAAAAAAAAAGTCATTATTTACTCACCCTGGTACTGGAATGCCCCTCTCCCAGCGGAATCTCAACTCCTGGACAAACTCGTGCCAAAGCTGGGCAAGCGCGTTAACGCTACCCAGATTAAAGGCGCAGTGTGAAGCCACAATGGCCAGTCGCCATACAAGACTGTCGATGGCGCAGGTTTTTATTCCTCTCCATTGGTCCTCATCGATGACTAACGCGTCGCTGTCGTACGGCGCTCTCTGAACCAAAAAGATTTTTCGCGTTATATAATGGGTTTCAAGATTTACTGTGAATATTTGAAATTTTTTATTTTTACCGTGTTATCTTCAGCATCGGGAAATAAAAAGTACAGTATGGGCAGTAACACGTCTTCAGTTATGGGACCTTCGATGTTCTTTCGAGATTTTGACACGTTTCTACTGACTACGGTTGTGAGAGATGGAATTCGAGACTCCGTTAGTATATTAAAAGCAGAGCTCAATGACTGATTCTCGTTATCAACGTAGGCGGCACCTTCGCCCAACAGTTCTACTAAACTTTTCTGATTACCGCACAGCTGTAAAAAATTTGACAGATATTCGCCTAGTAAACAAGCGGGATTCCGAACCATTTCGACTTTCAACGACCAATCTGGAGCCGACAGAGGTTCCAAATCACTAAACGATTCACTCTCCACCACGGCATTTTCGCTTATCTCCGACCAACTAGCGTACAAATGGAATTCCCTATGAAAAAAAATTTAGATTTAGTCAAGTTATTGATTATGCTTTTCAGAAAATTTGTTTACAGCACCATAAATTTCTCACTTTATTGGATCAAACGTGGCTCCAAAGGGAAGCTTCCCCAGCTCATCTACACCCAAAGTTTCTCCTTGTAAAAAATCAAAATCAGGTGGCTCCTGCGTCCAAGTACTATTAGTCCAGTCTTTTAGAGTATATGACAATCTCACTGACACTATAACCGTGTCCAGACCTACACCGCTTCCACAGCCTTCGCTAATTTTTTGTTTAAACAAAGTTGATAGGCCTGTCAGGTGCCTGCAGTGAGGAGGAATTTTTTTCAAGTGAACCATGTTTAAATGCATCCTCGAACCTTTACCGATATTTATACCAAGGTAATAATTTTGCCACTGTTCTTGCACCTGAACGAATGCTGCTATTTCACTGAAATGTAATTAAAAACAATATCAAACATTGATTTTTTTTGGAAAAAAAAAAATAAATCAAACTTTTACCAACCACTGTGCATTGCTCACTGCAATGGTTAAGGAACTCAACAAAATCTTCATTTTAGTTTCATCCGCTATGGAATTTTGTTTCACAGGTACTAGCAGTAAAAACTCTCTTATTCCATAAAAACGAGCCAACTCCGGATAACCATTTTTTATCTGCACAAAGTCATTTCTAGAATTCAAAATGTCTTTTTGACACTGGGTGAGAACTTCCTCGGGATCAGGTGTCCTACTTCTCTCAGAACCGTCATCCTCTTTCTGCAGTTTAAAGTATTTAAAGAAAAACTCGACATCTGGAAGAAAAAAAAAAAAAAAGAAATGGGCAACGCAGTTAAACAATGGACTGAGCGCGTCTTTTTTGTGTGTAGATCATTGCACAGTATTAACCTGCAAAGTTCAATTTTTCCGTGTGCTCTTCCCACGACAAATTGGCAAAGTCTCCTTCTTTCAGAGGCGGGCCAGGTTGCGCGTGAGGAAGCTGCCACTCGTGAATAATTTCCTCCAGCCTCGCTATAAACACTTCCCACTCGGAGGCAGTCGTGAAGTCGTGATGATAAACATCCTCAATTTCTACGTTATTCATCTTAAAACTTTTCACTTTTATCAATGTCAAACCGAACGATACGCGCACTCACTTAGTTCTTTATAACTTGACATTAATCAAACGATTCAATTGTATTCAACGATTCAAGGCATTTTTTGCGTCCGTCAAGTGTTGCTGTTGCACTGACATATGTATTGTTTTGAACTCGCTGCACAAGTATACGCATGACATGACGCATGACGCAAGACACGATTTAGACATACATGTATTTGTAAAACAAAGAGGATGGTATTGGGATTGGGACGTATCAATTTTATATTGTACCTTGTTAAGATCGTCGTTAAGTACCATGTTATTATAATGTTCCGATTTAAAAAAAAAAAAACTGTTTTTTGGAAAAAACTATTTTGCTTTATTTTCCGCTTCCAATCATCTTGTGTTCTTTGTTTATTAATGAAACATAAAATTGAAAAAAATCGCCGATACCCGTGGACAAATTTGGATGATCATTTTATTATCATTATTACTAATGGAATACACGACGATTGTTTTGAAAAATCAGGAAACCAGTAAAGTGGTTTAAATTATTACTTTAAAAAATAACTATTTACTTTGCAGCTCGCCAAAAAATTAAATGTAGTTTTTTTACCTCATTAATGTTTTAATAACAATTTTTTAGTTTTGACACATCGATATGCTCGCGATTTATTTCGTTTCTTCTTCTTTATATTGGTAAAAAATGCCAGTATTCCGTAATGTGCAGTTATTGACAGACGTAAAGGTAAATAAATTGTTATACAATAAATAAAAGTAAAAAATTGTTTTGAAAAACTACAGAAGACCAAAGATTTTGATGCGCGAGCTCTTTTAAGTATTAGTTTATCGGGTCGTTGTCGGGATATTCCTTAAAAATGTAACTCATTTCAATATATAGGTATACCGTGTTTCCTCTCCGTCGAATCAGCCGATAATTAAGGGAATGTGCTTATCAAAACATGTATTCCGCAAATCCGCATGCATACGTCAAATCGAACACTGACATTTGACAAAAAAGCCACGCTTTTCAGGCATCAGAGAGTAAACGCTCTTCTTCGTAGTTGGAACTTTAGATGAAAAAATTTTTGTAGTTATAATGGTTGGTTTACTGAACGACTCCGACAGCGAGGACGAGCTGCCACCAGGATGGGAGGAACGAGCCAGCAACGACGGGAATGTTTACTACGTGAAGTAAGTACTTTTCACAGTTTTTTTGATTGTTGATAAGTAAGTATGTTTTCATGCACACGTGTACCCGATTCTCAGTCATTTTACAAAGAGCACGCAGTGGACGCACCCTCGCACGGGACGCAAAAAGATAGTCAAGGGAGAACTGCCTTCAGGATGGGAGAGGGTCGTTACTAACGAAGGAGAAGTGCTTTTTGTCGACCACGTCAATCACACAACGACTTACGCCGATCCGAGATTGGCTTTTGCTACCGAGTACAGGGAATCTTCTCAGCCTGTGAGGCAGCGTTTTGATGGTAGCAGCACAGCATTGGCCGTACTTTATGGAATTGATTTGAGAAACAAGGTTGCCCTGATTACTGGTGCCAATACAGGAATTGGTAAGAAATTTACCTCTTTCCATTTGCAAAGTTTCAAAACTTGTGCATTTATTTTTAGGTTTCGAGACGGCTAGATCATTGGCTCTACATGGCTGCACAGTAATATTGGCTTGTCGAGATTTGGAAAAGGCACAGATTGCTGTTGATAGGATCAAAAAAGAAAAGGATGATGTAGATTGCGATGTTTTACGCTTGGATTTATGCTCGCTGCAGAGCGTTCAAACTGCTGCAAATGAATTCAAACAAAAATACAGGTCAATAAGACATTACTTGAAATAACATTATTGCAATTTTAAAACTGTCATAACTTTTTTTTCCAATAGAACTCTTAATATTTTGATACTGAATGCCGGAGTGTTTGCATTACCCTACACGTTGACAGAGGATGGCTATGAAACGACTTTTCAAGTTAATCATTTATCCCAGTTTTATCTTACATTACTTTTAGAAAATCCATTGAAAAGTTGTGGCAATGCCAGGGTAGTCATTTTGTCTAGCGAATCACACAGGTAAATTTAAATACCGAAATTTTGTTGAATCCTGCACTTGTAAGAAAATTTTATTTGAAAAAATGTTTTTTAGATTTTCATTCATTCGATCAGCGGAGGATATTTACCCTTTGACACTATCTCCTCCTGCCTATAAATATTGGTCTATGGGTGCATATAACAACTCGAAATTCTACAACGTACTATTTGCTCAAGAATTGGCAAAACGTTGGCCATCTGTGGGTGTTTTTAGCTGCCACCCTGGAAACATGGTTTCCTCCAATATATCGCGTCACTATTGGCTATACCGATTTTTATTTGCATTAGTCAGACCCTTCACAAAATCTCTGGTACGATAACATTTTTATGTTTCAAAACTTGGTTTTAAATGCAATTGATTTTTTTTCTTTAGCAACAAGCAGCCAGTACAAGTGTATTTTGTGCAACTGCGGAAGAATTGAAAGGTATTTCAGGCACTTACTTCAACAACTGCTATCGTTGTGATGTATCAAGCACTGCCTTTGATCCACAGTTATCTTTGCGACTATGGGACGTTAGTCAAGAAATGATAATAAATATCATGAACAAAGATAAGTTATAAAAAGAGGTGTCATTGACGTAATGTCCTTTAAATAGAAATTGTACATAATGTAATTAAAAGACTGACAGTTTTATACAGTACGACAGTAAATTTGATTTGTTAAAAATTAATTTCCATGTACAGTTTTTAGAATAAAAGTATACATGCTGTGTACTATTTTTCCAATCACAATGTTTTTCTCTGGATGGGTTTAATCAAGGCTCAACAGTTAATCCAAAATGAATTTTCAACAAACTTCTTTATAAATTTAAAATATTTACAACGTACATTCAGTTAGCATTAGCACTGTCTAGTGTACAAAAATTCAATTAGCGTAAAATTCTCTCAAGTATTCTGCCTTTGGTTTCAATATACATTTGTCCTTAAGACTTACAACCCACCCTGGTTCAAGTCCAAAAAATATTTGTCTAGGATCCTTACTTTCCATAAGTATCTCGAAATCAGGATCATTTTCTATTTTCGGCAGCTCGTAGCCATATTTTTGTGACAAGACAAGTCTTTCATATGATATTTTTTCGGGATCTGCCAAGTATCCACGAGTCGCAGCACTCGAGTAATATTCTAAACAATCAGCTGGTGGTAGCAAACGGCGAGGTATGGGTGCACCTGTTCAGATATATGTTTAACATTTAATATACATACCACAATTTGCGGTTTGAAGGCCAACTTACCCTTTTTGAAAAATTTTTGTGGATTGATAGCAGCGTACACGCAATGTAAATCATAGTAAGCTGTCGTTATTCTTCCTCCATTCCTTTCGATTGCCGCTATTACTGGTTCAGAAGCCCACTGGACTTCGATATTAATTTTAGCTTGGAACTGGTCAGCTCCCTGTAAATAATTTTCAATTCGAGATAAAAAATATTTATTGGAAATTCAAAAACAAAAGCCTAATATTTACCTCATCAGTAAGATGAACACCATAGTGCTTCCAATCTGGTTCAATCTTGTACACCCCGGTATTTGATATGGCTGTCAAATCTATAAGCTTGCTGGTGTCTACTCTGTTGGTGTCGATCATTAATTGAAGCTGCTGCAGCGACAACGGTGGATACTGTCTTCTCAAGCTGAAAAATTCGGAAAAACGTCAAATAAACCTAAGGAGGCAAGCATTGATATTATTGAAGATGGCAATACACAGTAACTCACTGGTGTCCCTTGTAGTAAGGCTCTTCGCTGAATCTTTTGTGAAAAGGCCGATTGCCTTGAAAAAAAAAGTTACAAACGCATCATTAAGATATGCAAGATTTCAGGGCTTTGGTGCCTTTTGTCATTTTCTTACCAGTTTCGTATCCAAGAGGCATCCAGTTGTTCCTTTGATTAGAATCGCCACCACCGTGTTTGTCACCGCCGTGCTGTCCTCTTCCTCTCTTTGTCTGGGCAAAAAAAAATATTTTCAACAACAGCAATTAAAAGTTAAACTTTAATAAGCACCACACTTTCATGGAAACAAGTACCTTTTTCTTGCTGCCCGGGTTGGTAATGTTAGCCAAGCAGACTCGCGGCAACGCTCTGAGCATCGTCAGAGCCAGCTCACGGCCCTGCTTGCCGACGTGAGCCATAGTGGCTCAGTGCAATAATTTTATTCACTTTTTTCAACTGCAATTGAAAAGTTCTGTAATCTCCGGCAAAAGGACGAAGTGTTTTGTTGATGAACATGAGCACACGAGCAACTGCAGTGTGAAGTTGGCGGTTAAGCGCATCATGAGTGCCAACAATCGAAGCTGCTCGCACAGAGAGCAGACGAAACGATTTCAAAAACGATTGTGGTCGCACTGCAGCTGCAGGGCCAAATCGACACGCGTGCAGCAGCAGCGTCTGCGGATTGTTGAGGGTTCGACGACTCTTCAACAAACTTCAACCAATTTAACCTGCGGATTATGCAGATCAACCGTAGGTATAGGTATATTTTGGTCGTCGAGTCAACTTGTTGAGGGCGGAGGCTGAGTCATAAATATGGGTGTACACGGCATGGTCGTGTAAAGAGTGCGGAAACCAAGACCCAAGTAGTGAGGATGTCCCTTGTTATCATCGATGTCTTGTGCACACCCTTTCTTTGACATCAACAATAGAAAGGAGAATTGAGGTATAGTGGCAGCAGCGAACGAAGAGAAGGTGAAGGTGTAGGCGGGCCCATGGCATTTAACAAATCTCCGTGTATGTTGTAGATATACCACCAGACGGAAAAGGAGTGAGCGAAACACGCATTGGTTTAATAAGCAGGAGTCAGTCTGTCTCTCGCGTTCGCACACCTTGTTCGATCATATACCTACACCAAGTCGACAGTCTTTCAGACTCTCTTATTTGACGATTGAAACCAAGACGACGACAGGCTCGCCGTCGGCTAAATGCACGAGACATGGCAACTAAGGCCTTCGAAGCTGGGCTGCTGAACAACAATTTCCAAGGTACCAAAAAGAAGGATGAACTGGCGGACACCGACAATTTGTGGTAAATGGGTGCAGGAAATTGCAAATTTTCGTATCAAACATGCGGGAGACTCATTAGCACGCTATAAGCCGTAACCATAGCTTTTCTGCTACTGCTGCTCATGCTTATTATTATGCGATGAGTGTCGCGACACACTTAAACTATTTCGGAGTCTGCAGGCTAATTTTTTTTTGTTTTATTCAATTGTAGGTCTAGTATCTTGGCCCAAGTGCAAAATAGCAACAACAATAAGTTGCCAAACAATAAGAACGTGCTTGTGTTGGGTATGTTTTTAATCAAAGTGATTTATTTATTGCGTTGCGTTGTTCGATTCCTATAAGTAATGATGTTGTATTTTCAGGTGACAATGAAAGTGGAAAAACTACCCTTATTGCCAAACTCCAGGGTGTAGAGGATCCCAAGAAAGGATCTGGCTTAGAGTATGCCTACATTGATGTCAGAGATGAATACAGAGATGGTTAATTGCAAAAAAATTTTTAATTACTCGAAGACCACCCAGGTCTTTCAGTTTTGAAATCATCAATCATGGATGGTTTACTTTCAGATCAAACTAGGTTATCAGTGTGGGTGCTGGATGGCGATCCTGGACATACGAATCTTTTAAAATTTGCCTTGAATGCAAAAAAGTTTCCACACACTCTAGTTATGCTAGTAGCTGCAATGACAACACCGTGGGCGATACTGGATCAGTTGCAATTTTGGTCCAGGGTTTTGGGTGATCACATAGATAAAATTGCTGCTGACAATGATGAATTCAAAGAAACGTGGCAAGAGTGTCGGCAAAAAAGTAATATCTACTTTCTCAAGATTTCTGTGTGAACTTATTTTTTAAAGTGATTAATCTTTACCTAGTTATCAAGAAGTGGCAAGATTACACGGAACCGGGCGATGACCTTGATCCAGGAAGTCCTATGAGGAGAACGAGTCGTAATTTGGATGACGAATCTGTTGATAATTTACCTCTACCCGAAGGAGTATTGACAACAAATTTAGGATTAGATATAGTTGTTGTAATTACAAAAACAGATTACATGACAACTTTAGAAAAAGAACATGATTACAGGTATTTAAGAAAATGTCTCGGTAAATTAAAATAAAAAAATACTGTCAAATAATTTATTTTTGTTCCAATTGCCAGAGATGAGCAGTTTGACTTTATGCAACAATGGATTAGAAAATTTTGCCTTCAGTATGGTGCAGGTCTTTTTTATACGTCAGTTAAGGAAGATAAGAATTGCGATTTACTGTACAAATATTTAACGCATAGGATCTATTCTTTACCGTTTAGAACGCCTGCTCTGGTTGTGGAAAAAGATGCCGTGCTTATGTAAGTTGATTACAAATTCATAAATAATCATGTCATTGAAAATTACATAATTTAAACTCTTTATTTTAGTCCAGCAGGGTGGGATAATATGAAAAAGATTAGTATTTTACATGAGAATTTGCAATTAATGAAGCCAGACGATTATTACAGAGACGTTATTGTTCAGCCACCCTCCAATAGAAAGGTATTTTTTTACGTTACGAGAACCAAAAATACGTTTCACGTGTCAAATATTTTCAAACTACGTTACAGAGTGTGACGCGTCAAGTTGAGGTCCAAGCAGAAGATGAACAAGCCTTCTTGGCAAGGCAGCAGGAAGCATTGATGGGATTGAAAGATCCATCTCGGTCGCCAACCACGAGGAATCAGGCAAGCATGGGCCCAATCGTGCAGGTCTATTCAATTTTGATTTTAGCATGCTTTCAGTGTCATTGGTGCTTAACATACAACAAAATAATACGAAAATTTTTAAACACTAAATTTTATGTCGATTTAACAGCTTTTACAACTTTATTTTTACTTATTTGTCGTAATATTATTGTGCCCATAAGAAGCGGTGCTTTAAATTCAGTTTATTTACCCTACTTTCAATTTTTAACTTGTTTTTTGTTTTGTTTTCCACGTAAAGCTTCTTTTTTATCAGAATATTGAAGTTTAAAAATACATTGCTTACATTATTGCTATAGAATGATTATATATTAATTAATTCAATTTTCATGTAATCTCTTTTACTTCTGCAAGTGATAAAATTTGTACGAAAATTCTTATATCATTCAGTAGTGTAATTCCCTAAATGTATGAATTTTAATTTTTATTATATCCCACCTGTATATTTCTACATTTTGTCTATGCTCAGAATGCTTATTTCACACTTTTTTCATTTTTAAAATTATCAGTCCTATTAAAAAGTGATACTGTACTGAAATTAGTAATGACATCAAGGTTATTAAATTTATCACCCTACGTTCAGAAATCTAAATTAAAAGACATCCTCACGCTTCTGATAATACTCGAGCACTTTGAAATATTATTTATTTGGAATATAACACCAAGCATGCACAACAAAGTCTTTGTTGGTATAATATTGCGTGCATCCAACTGTTTGTTGTAAAGCTTCAACTTTTTCCAACGACGTTAACGAATCTGTACCAAATTAATGCATCAAATTTAATGTAATGAATAAAAGCATATTTTTCGAGCATCAGTGATTAATGTTGCGGCTGACATGGTGTAACCCTTGAAAGCATGTTACAACTCATCTTATGGATCGATCTGAGACTATGATTGTTTGTCATTTTGATAATTGTTACCAAGCACGCATTGAAAGATTCAAACGTAGGTTGCTTCTCCAAACAAGAAGTTGGATCCAAAAAGCACTGGTTCAACTCCCTCGGGTGAAGGCGTTCTAGCCAATTTCTTCAATTCGCTGCTTCACAAAAAAACCATGAGTTCTCCAGGTGGACCAGGATCGCCCGGCAGCATTGGAGCTAGTCCTCCCAAAAGTGGTAATTATTTGCATTTAAACGTTTTTTTTATGTCCTTGGTGTTTAAAGTATATTTCTACAAATCGTAATTTTCATCCTCTGTCCAGAACCAGGCAGTATGGATAAGGCTGCGATACGAAACGATGCGGCAGCGGAACTCGATCGTATTACGAAAATAAAAAAAATACCACCACTAGATTTGGACAGTTCGACCGAATCTTGAAAGTTGAATGAGTGATCAGGTCATTTTTTAACAATCGGAGAGGATGAAAAGGCCGTCAATCTGCAACGATTGCAGCACCGTTTCATCAGTCAACTTTTTATCACGTCGAATATGTGAAGCATGTCACTATTGTTGAGTGCAATTCTGACTGATGTTTTTCTATTATTTATAATTTATTTAACTGTGTCTAGTTTCGTAAACTGGACTCCCCACTCAAATGCTCCAAACGCAGTACAGTACTTACAAATTCTATATCAACGTCGAATTGTTTACACTTGCTTTTCGTTTAACATTCTTCGCGACTTGCTTGACAATAATCATTCCTTAATTTGCGCCTGAAACCATAGGAACGTGCAAAGCAAGTCGAGTTTCGTGCCAGAAAAAAATATCAAGGGGCCACTGCGTCTCACTGTTTATGAGTGATGAGTAAGTATGTTAGTGAAAAAGCTTTCAATTTCGCATTAAATTGATGCGGCAAAAGCAATTGAATCAACAACAAAAATTTATTTTAAAAATAAATTAGAGATTTCTTGTTTGTACAAACGATACATTTGCACAATTTATTGTCATGACTTTGTATACTGAATTTGATGTAATTTTTTTTATCCCGCATTTTTTGTAAAACTGAAAAAAGAATCATTGTTTGAGTGACTGAAGATTAAGCAGCATTTCAATTTACAAAGTCGTTTTTTTAATAAAATCTTTTTTTGTTTTAAGACTTTTATCATTACATACTGTTGAATTTGCTGGGAAAATAAATTTTATGTACATACATTAATGCATGATTTAGAGCATCTAAATTAATATTTAACTCATAAAATGCATGATCAAATTAGGGTGGCGAAATCGCTGAATTGAATAAAAAAGAACAAAAATTTTCCTCATTACATAATTTTGCTAGGTAGCTGTTCAAAATTGCTTATAAAGATGAATGTATCTTCATGCCACGTAAAAATTTTATTTTTTGGTATCATACACATATGAATCCAAATATGTAACTTGATATGTATGATTTGTTGCGGCTAACATGCAATAAAAATCATAAATAAAAGGAAACATTTTCAACATAATATCTACTTTTTATTGCACACCTTGTATCGCATTTAACAAAATATAATTTTGTAAATAAATGTATTTGTTAATGGCCAATTGTATATTATGACCCAAGGCCGGAAGAGTAAAGAAAATCTCAGATCAACCGAGGTGAACCCAAAGATGAAAAACGGACGGTCTGAGGCTTCTTTACTTCCAGCCGTGGATTATATACACGATTTTTCGTGTCCCCGCAGCTGGAAAGAGAATGTTCCCGTCCGCGCAGCGGCCAAGAGCTTTGACTTTCCAGCTACTGGGATGAAAAAATATTTTTTGTCTGCACATATAAAACATGGTAAACTGCTATTTTTGTTCTACATATAAATATTTCTTTATAAAAAACGCCTAGTAAAATATAAGTAGACGAATTTTCATAAATTGTAACTTTATAAAATCGACTAATAAGTTCATATCTTATTAAACATTATTTACTAATCCTACAAAAAATTTATTTAAATAAACATTATACTTCTGTAAAATTATGCGTACGTGCTATCGAATAACAAATATTAATACTACAAACAAATTTGGAATGAAATTCCTTAAATTAAATAAACTATTTACAGGAAGGCAAGTAAGTTTTCTTGTTCATGCTTTGGAGCTGCTCGGAGTGATCCGTGCCCTTTCAGTGTTTTGAGAGCTTTAGAAGTTTAGTTCCTAGGGGCATGAAAAAAATAATACATCTAAACTACGACTTTTTCATTAATTTGTCAATTAATTAATTATTAAAGCCATTTTTTTAAACTAAAAATATAATTCATAAAATATGCTATATTAAATTACTTAAGAAAATTATTCGTATTTTTCATGGTGATTGTTTATCATTATAAATAAAGAGTAAAACAAAATTTAATTAAAAAACACAAAATTAGATAACCAAATGGTGGTAATTTAAAGGGTCCCGTATTGCAATGATTATATTTAAAATTTTTCTAAACAAACATCAGACCATTAGTTTGATCAACGTTCTAAATAGATCACAATATATACATATAAAAAAGTCACTCGTCGTTTCGTATTTAAAAAAGTACATATTAACCAATACGTAAAAACGGAATAAAAAATTTTATTCACACTTGCATACTTTTTGGCCCACACAAACAGTTAAACAGTTTTAAATTCGATTCAAAAAATGGACAACGTCGTATGAAAAAAAAAAAAAAAAAAAAATTAAAATCAGGAAGAAAGTTTTTTTTTTGTTTTGTTATTCCCCTGCGTAATCGATACACAACAATATACGTATATAAAATAATTTTGGCTCGAAATGTTTACGAAAACAAAACTTTTCGTACAATGATATTATATAATATGCTCCGTAACGATATTGTACACACTGTAATTTTTCGGCGTTTGACGACGACGCTTGCGGTGCAGTCTCAAATGCTCTCTCGTCAACGTGTTTTTGTTTTTGTTAATTTTATTAAAAAAAAAAGGTAAAGGGAAAAACGGTACTTGGAAAATTCGACGCTCGATCAAAGGAACGGGGTAGAGGGGGTGTGGTGGCAAGTTAATGGTCAACATTAATGTGCGCGTGTCATGTCATAAGCAGTAACTATCGGCAACGGTGCAGCAGGCGTATATGGAGCTTAGCTCGTTCAATAGAGCAGTATGCGCTTGTCCACGGCTTTGCGGCATATCGGACACTCGGACATTCGGTCGCCGCACATTTGGCACGTGCCGTGGCCACAGAGGAAGATCATGTTTTTCAGTCGGTCCAGGCACACCGGGCACATTGTCTGCAACAAACGACAAGGGAGGTATGAGATCGAGCCGAGCAATAATAAGAGCGAACGGGCGCCCAAGTTTTTCCAATAATCCCTCCACCGAGAGGGGCGTGGAGAACGCGAAAAAAAAAAAAAAAAAAAGAAAAGCTCTGCGAGTAAAGACAAAGCGAAGAAAAAAAAAGAGCGAGTGTAACGAGAGAATCGAGGCTTGGAAGGGTGTGCGCAGCACCTGCTCCTTGATGTCTTGCAGCTGCTGTTGGAGCTTTTGGATGTCGCTGTGGGAGGTGTCGCGGCTGCCGTTATTCATGAGCGTGCCCTCGGGCTGGCTGATGATGGCTGGCGGTTGCAGTACGGGGGTCGTGTTGTTCGCGGTCACCTTGTCGTCCTCGGGGTCGCTGGTCTTCAATTCGCTCAGCGTCGCAGCTGCAACGAAAACAATTAATTAATCCCGTAAGTTATCTTGAAATGAAATTTTACCGATTCGGTCATGAGAGGTAAAACATAAGAAAGCCGTTACCTGTGTTGGCGTTGCAGTTTTTGACGTAAGTGACGTCGCCCTCGCCTCCGCAGCACATGGAGAGGGGCAGCATGTGTTGGATCTGTACGCGGCACTGCACGCACTTTTTCATGAGGGCCGCACAACTATCGCAGGCGCACATGTGGCCGCATGGCCGGAACAGCACTCCCGCCTTACGGTCCGAGCACACCACGCACTCTTCGATCTGTTGATTCATCATCATTATTATTATTATTATTATTATTTAAATTTTATGTACATACATTAATGCATGATTTAGAGCATCTAAATTAATATTTAACTCATAAAATGCATGATCAAATTAGGGTGGCGAAATCGCTGAATTGAATAAAAAAGAACAAAAATTTTCCTCATTACATAATTTTGCTAGGTAGCTGTTCAAAATTGCTTATAAAGATGAATGTATCTTCATGCCACGTAAAAATTTTATTTTTTGGTATCATACACATATGAATCCAAATATGTAACTTGATATGTATGATTTGTTGCGGCTAACATGCAATAAAAATCATAAATAAAAGGAAACATTTTCAACATAATATCTACTTTTTATTGCACACCTTGTATCGCATTTAACAAAATATAATTTTGTAAATAAATGTATTTGTTAATGGCCAATTGTATATTATGACCCAAGGCCGGAAGAGTAAAGAAAATCTCAGATCAACCGAGGTGAACCCAAAGATGAAAAACGGACGGTCTGAGGCTTCTTTACTTCCAGCCGTGGATTATATACACGATTTTTCGTGTCCCCGCAGCTGGAAAGAGAATGTTCCCGTCCGCGCAGCGGCCAAGAGCTTTGACTTTCCAGCTACTGGGATGAAAAAATATTTTTTGTCTGCACATATAAAACATGGTAAACTGCTATTTTTGTTCTACATATAAATATTTCTTTATAAATTTCCAACTAACCGCTTCGTTTGCTGAATTTATTAGCGAGGACCGCCGGTAAATTCCGCCGAGTTGAGCTCGCGTGACGGATTGATTGCGGATCCCCCCCTAGTGCTGTAATTGAGGAATTTCCGAGGAAGCGCAATCGAATCGAGCATCCCGGACGGCGATATGCCGTTGGTACATCTCGGCGATTGTCCTCGAGGATCGATGCGACGACGATGTCAATCGAGCTTCTATGCAGCTGCACCGACGGAGTACAACGCTCTAGGCTGGGGCTCCGTAAATTGCACCCTCGTAATTACGGGCGTCCAGATCGGCCGTTTGCCTCCGGTGTTGGTGCGCTCCGCGTACGGGTATATGATGCTTTACTCGGTAATCAACTCAAGTGTCGTTCGAGGATGCCCTATGGATATTGCACCTCGTGAGAACTTATGGGAATCGATGGACATGTATAGGAAAGGGGGGATGGTTTCTATAGCGTGAGGGTTTGTGGGCCCCTTTTTATTTATCCCGTGGTAGTGCTCGCGTGGGTATTTTTTTCTCAAAATGAGTGACAAATCGTCTTCTCGGCTGCAAAAGGAAAAGTCCGGGAAAAATTTACTCCTCGCGTAGTGAGGGGAAAAATTCCACCGTAGGTATTCGGGTGATGGCAAAAGCTGCTTTCAAAAGTTCGGAGCGAGAGACTTTTCTTTCACTGTGCAGCGAGCGAATTTTCCTCTCCAGCTACTCCGTCGATCGATTTTTATTTGATTCGGGAGGAAATTTTCTCCCAACGGGAATTCGAATCGGAAGTGGTGATCCATTCATCGATGCAAACACTATTAAATTGTTACTTTTGCACAGTTGTTACTTGCTTACTTACGACGTTTTCAAAGGCTCTTTCCCAACTATCGATCATTTCAAAGTATATGCAGAAAATAAATTATTAACATTACTTGATCGTTTTTGGCACTGCGAGTGTAAAAAAAATCACTACGTAGGTACCGTCTTTCAAAATCTTTTTGTATAATGTAAACTGCGTCAGTAGACAAAATGTTTACGAAAAAATCAGTCAATATTTTGTTTTTAGTTAGAGGCGTTTACCTAGAGTAATTCAAGGCAAGTTGTCTTATCCCTCTTTTTTATAACTACGTTTATTATTCCTCCATCCAGAGTTAATAAAGTGAACCATGTTGTCATGCACTAAAAATAATGATTATCTTGAGTAACTTTCAACGGAAGGTATTCCGTATAATCCCCGCACGAGGCAAAAATTTTATAAAGATCCCAAGGAGAGTATAATGTAGATCTCCACACCATCACGAAAAGGTATAGGGCCACGTGCGAACTTCTTCTTTCCCCCCATTGATCCGGTCGAATGTCTGGCATCGTTCATCTTTCGGCGCACCACACCCGGAAGTTCTGCATGCGATAAAACCCTCTCACACCCAGACATCTTTTTTCCCCACTTTACCTCCTCTCAACATCCGCGTCATTTTCACGGGAGACCATTACTTTTCGCGCGGCCCCTCCTCCCCTTCCTTTCCGCCGGTTTAGAGTTCAAAGGTCCCTCGTCGGAGAAAATCGATGGCCGAGAGACCCCATCCTTTTTTCACTGGAAAGTATAATTTAATTAGTACGTTTCACGTACACATATCCCGTACAAGGACCCCGTAAATTTAGCCGATATCCAACCCTCGAGGATAGAAACTTTATCGATGGCGTAATTTTCAAAGAGATCGGAAGAAAGCGAGCCACCGCATCGTAATGCCCACATTCATTATTATATATACTATCATCCACTATCCCGACAAGTGAACTAATGAACTTGAAGCACCAGCCAAAGAGTAAGGTACTTTGGTCTATAAAATTTGATATTTAAACAGAGGCGCATCGTCGATTTCGGCCACTCGCAGTTATCCAACAAACAGAGTTGATGCCGATCAGCGGGTAACGAGCTCCGGGTAATTTATTCGGTGTTTTAATGGGCATCGATGCAACTCTCGTTAAACTCGTTCGAGCTGCACGGTACACCTGACAATGGCCGCTCGTGCCGCCATGCGTGGCGTTTCCGAAATGAATTTCAAATGTCCGTGCGACAAGCACGTAATTATATCGTACACGGGGCTATTTCGAGTGTTTCATTAACGTCACCGAGTGATGGGCTCCACTTATTTCTGGATTAATGTCAGCTGCACTCCAAATTTAATCGCGTGACAACAGGGACACGCCGGGGGTTGATGCACCCTCGAATGTCTCCATAAAAAAGGTCCGAAATCTTTTCCGAGGTTTTCGCAGTCATGGAAAGACTTTGGGATACGTCAAAGTCATCAAAAGTCTCCACCAAAAAATAAGAGCGGTGCTTCAACCCTTAATTGGTTGATTTTCCACCCCACTTGGGGCAAATTGCTTCCCCAGAGTAAATTAGTCAGTGGCCCTCTCTTTATTCGTTTTTATACGTATATCTCAAAACAAAGTGGTCTATGATGTAAAAAAAAGAAAAAAGCTTAATAGGACACACCCGAACTAGCGAACCAAGCAGTCCTTGTTCGGCGGTGTATGGAAAAAGAAACGTATAGCCTCGTTAAAATTCATGCGAATCTGCATAACGCTCTGATAAACCGTACACCCGCGAGTACACCTCGAAATCTCGCTAGCTCGCACATACACATATAAATACGCAAACGCGAAGCAACACGGCACAACAAGCCGTGAGAGATTACACCGGCACGCGAAGGCGGCGGTGATTGTACGCAAACACCGTGTACATCATTCGCCCGAGTAGCTGTACATGTACACAATGACGAGCACTGTTAAAGAAACTTAAATCCACCCTCTCTCGCATCGCGCAACTATACGTGCGACGTGCAAGCTTCTTAGATCTCGTGCAACCACCACTCGACCATTCATCTATATTACCTGTACGTATACCCATACGTACACAGTTACAAATATAACGGTGTATCCGAGGGCTGTGTCTATACGTACACGAGTCAAAGTGACGCATCGACCGGCCCCGGCTGCACGTGTATGCGCAGCTATAGCTATTACGGTTTATTATCAGACGTAAGCTGCTCGTCTAATTACGCCGCGGGCGCACTGCCGTCGCTCCGAGTGGGCGTGTGTGTGTGCGCAGGTATTCGCCAGGAAATATTAATGGATCTTAGAGTTAACCGGCTTACCTATGGGGATTGGTGCTCACCGATCTTTTTTTCGCCAGAGTTATCCTACGTATATAATCTCTCTCGGGGGTGAAACTCGGGGTGTATACCGAGTTTATTGCTTGTTATCGTTTCTCTGTATTTTTTAATTTTGATTTAATCCCGCTCATCTCTTGTGAAGTACAGTATGGCACAATGAACAAGAAAATATGATTTTTTGCTAAGTTTTACAATAAAGCAAGCTCTGGTTGGATGAAATTGAAATTAAAAAATTTTTAATTAACAAAGTAAGGCAAGTACAGTTCTCCATGTGTACAATGAGCTCGTCCGTGGAAGATGTTGCTGGAAAATTGTATTTCAAATTAACTTGAGATCCCGGAAACGCAAAGTTGAAATAGTAAGACCTGTTTCCCTACACAAATCACCGAATGTCCATTCNAATTTTTTTTTCTTTTTTTTTTTTTTTTTTTTTTTACCCCCTCATACCGTTAACCGCTCAGTGTTTGTTTTGCATTATTTTTTTCTTTGAAGCGTGTGCTTTTTTTTTATCTCCCCGGCCGAAAAAAACGGGATGCAAACGCCACGTTTCGAAACTTCACGCCTATTTGGATGCGCGGCAAGATTTTTTTTTTTTTCATTGCACAAATTGGCTCGTAAATTTTTTTGAATACATAGCAAGGAACTTTTCAACATAAATGAAAGATCCTCCTTCCTTCCGACCGATGCCTGCGTTGGCTCACTTTGTAATCCAAGTTACACATGCAGCTATTGTTTCGCTCACGGCTACACAGCTCCTACATACAAGCAACCCCTGTACTGTTTACATTTAATTTTTCCTTATAACTGTATTTTTTTCGTTACTACTACATAACAAAAAAGGTTTTTCTCACTGATTTGTTTTAAAAATAACAATTGCTTGTTTTCGCTGCCATAAACATAAGTCCATCTCGTTGATTTCCGTATGACACATGCTACTGAGTGAAAATATTTTTTTCTCGATGCATGAAACTATTTAAGCATGCTATACGAAAAAAAATCTTCCCTCCCCCCCCAAGTAAAATTAAAAGCTCTTCTCCTTGGGAGAAAGTCACAATTGAGTTATTCGAATGTATAGTATTATTAGCAAAAAGGGTACTGACTCGTCCTTGTCCTTGTGGCAGTTGGTGAGGGTCTTGCAGAGATTGGGATCGGGGCAGAGGTCGAGCGGGGTCTGGCCCTTTTTGTTCTTGAGTTCGAGGTCGGCGCCGTGGGCGGCGAGGAAGCACGCGATGAACGAGCTGCTCTTCTTGTCCTGGCCCTGGGTGCCCAGTCCCATTAACAGCCTGCCCACGTCCTGGACGTCCTGGAGCTGGCGCAGCTGGGACAGGGTGTGGTGGCGCAGGGCCTCGTGCAGCGGTGTGTCCCCGTCCTTGTCCGCCACGTTGAGGTTCGCACCCTCGCGTACCAGCAGCTGCGCGTTTACCAATGCGGGGCAATAACACATATTTACTACGTTTATTTTTGTCGTACTCTCGGCGCGAGTGTTATTAAGTATTTATAACCGACGTCATCGTGGTTTTTGGTGATTACAAACGGGAGGTTGTTAAAAGTGGTGAAAACCATACGTGTACACAAGCTCGGGTGGAAAAGTGTGAAAGTCGCGGAATTTCAGGTTTTTCACCTTTTGTGATTAATGAGAGTAAAAAAAAAACAATGTGCCAAAGCACTGTCAAGGTGCTTAAAATGATAAAAATTGTAGAGAAATTCCAGCGAAAATTACCATTCGGCACAGTACATCGGACGCAAACTGGCAAATGAGGAAAAAAATTATCATTCAACTTTCCCGCAATTATTTTACCCTTTTTTTCTCCAGCTTGCATTCGGTTCACCGTAGCAGATTTATTATTGTTTACTTAATTTTTTCTCTACAATTATTATTATCATTTTTTTTCTCTCGGTACGTGTAAGCTTGTAAACCAATGTCGGTAAAAAGGGTCCAAAAGTAACGAAAAATTGAGCAAATGTTCAAAGCGCGTGCACGTAAAATGAAGAAATTGCATGAAAATATATAGGCAGTATACGAGGTAGGTACCCGAACGATCTGCGTGTGTTGACGCTCGACCGCGAGGTGCAGGGCCGTCTGCAGGTTGACGTTCTGCAGGTCGAGATCGGCCTTGCCGGTCCTCGCGAGCTGCTCGGCGACCTCCACGTGGTTGTTGAGCGCGGCCAGGTGGAGAGCCGTGTAGCCGTCGTCCTTCTTCTCATCGACTATCCACGGCCGCGGCAGCTTCGACAACAGGACACGCATCGCGCTGCAACAAAGAAAAAACAATACGTTAAACCATCAACCAACACTCCAGGGGGGGGGGAGGGGACACGCCGATTCGGAGCATCATCCTACGACTCCAATATGTCTTATACATGTATAACGTAACACGAGGTGGATACATGCACCCATCATGTATGGGGAAGACGGAGAAACATGTGCTTGATCACCAGTAGGTGTATATAGCCAGCTCCAGATGCTGCACGTATGCATGGGGGGGGGGGAGGACCCACGGCATGTGGTAGCTCATACACACAGAGGAGGAGGAGGAAGATGAGAATTAAGCTCCTTCTCGCGCGGGGGTCTCTCTGTATACTTTTTTCCTTCGCGCCTGTTGCGAGCATTTCGTTTGGACGTACACCCAAGAAACACATAATTGTCCCCTTTTCCGTATACCACAGCACGCAAAGAGAAGTGCATCGGAGGAGAGTCGCGATTCTCTTGGCCGCGCTCCATCGAGCATCGCAACTCACCACATATTACATACATACACATATATAGATGTAGGTATTTACAAAGTGTGTGCGAGAGAGCGTCATGCACAGGATTTGCTTGGGTGTATATATATATAGGTACCTATGTAGAAAAAAAGAGAGAGAGAGGGCTCCCGCGCTCCCGTATGCGTGACGCTATTTCCGGCCCCGATTATCGGCACTCCTTCCCGCGCTCTCTCGCGGTGTAGCCGACGTCGCCGGTCAAACTCTCCGGCTCCGAGTGCCTGATGGGCTTACGTATACCTACTCCCGACGACGACTGACGGCATCTTACGAGGTAGGTGTATATACTCTCGTTACATACCTGCACCTATACGTGTACACCTATACTGTTGCTCGTTGCGCCCTTTTTCCCCTCATATCCCTCGATTTTTCATTGGTACATTTATCGGAGCAACGATTGTTTTGTTTACTATCGTTTGTAACGCGAAAGGTGCGGGGTTGCGTGTCCAAGGTATAGGTACGCGGACGTGTTGTGCCGCACAATACATCATGTATTAACACGTCAGTGATCGGCTTTTCGTTACAAAGTACCTTATACACGCCCCCTCCGATGTGGATCGGTAGGTGTACCATACCTAGTGTACGAGCGGTATTACAACGGATGGCAACTGAACGGGATGACTAGTGCGACATTGCACGAGATTGAGTACCCCGTGTGCAATCGATGCGGCGCTCAATGCGTAAAATGTTTAAAAAAAAAAAACGAACGGGCCAAGTGAAAATGTCTCTATTGTCTCTTTTTTTTTGTGAGTGCTCTCGTATATATATATACACGGGCAAAAGCCATCTGCACACGCACGCTCATGCGTGAGCGAGAAAGCTCTCTCTGCGTGTTACCAAAGAGTATATTTCACCACCGGAAATAACCGAGACGAAGCTGCACGTGTAGCAGCGGTACAGAAGCGACGTCTCCTCTCGGCGAGTTTTTCTCGTCCCCGCCTCTTTTTTGCTCTCCTCTGGCTCGTCCTATACACATCGGAGGCGGGGAAACTGGAGACGACGACGACGACGCGGCGTTTATTACCCCTGGCTTTCGGAAAAGCCGTGTCTATTTAAAAATTTAAAGGCCCGTTTGGTGTACTCTCAACTATATGCTTATTATAGCGAAGAAAATTTTTCTAAAAATATCCTAGAAGTAGGCCGACTTTTTTTTACTTCCAGTAAAACACAAAAAAAATAAATAAATAAATAAAACATAATTTAACACATAATCGAATTAAGTTGAAAATCAATCCACATAAGAATGCATCGAAACGGCAATTGTGATTAAATGCCTCCGATAATTTAATAAAACATTAAATTCTAAAGATTTAGATTATTAGCGATTATTAGCGAATTCGCGAAAAAGTGGACCGTAGGAACACCAGAATGGTATATAACAAAGATTCGATTTATCGATTATTGGGAATGAGGAGGAAACTCTGAGTCAATAAATTGATAAGTATTGTATTTTTACACACACATATGCAAGTAAAGGGAGAAAGACATGAATTACCTTTGTGCGGGCGGTGACGCTCTCGCGGCAGAGGAGGCATTTTTTGACGCGCGGCGCGCAGGTGTTGCAGCAAGTGACGTGACCGCAGGGTCCGAACAGAACCTCGCGCTTGGCATCCGAACAGACGAGGCACTCGTCGATACCCGTGGACGGGGTCGCGCTCTCTATGTCGTGCCTGTGGGCAGAACGACATTTCGTTGCATCGCATCGGTCACTCTATACCTATATATCATCTCTATCAAGCTCTCCAGGGGAGGTGAGCAACAACGCGTTAAAGGGGGTCGGCCTCTCTGCGCTCGACTGAATTGTTCATTCGACACTCCTCGTGGTTGGGCTCGTGTGATCAATTTTTTTTTTTTTTTTTTTTTTTTTTTTTTTTTTTACCCCCTCATACCGTTAACCGCTCAGTGTTTGTTTTGCATTATTTTTTTCTTTGAAGCGTGTGCTTTTTTTTTATCTCCCCGGCCGAAAAAAACGGGATGCAAACGCCACGTTTCGAAACTTCACGCCTATTTGGATGCGCGGCAAGATTTTTTTTTTTTTCATTGCACAAATTGGCTCGTAAATTTTTTTGAATACATAGCAAGGAACTTTTCAACATAAATGAAAGATCCTCCTTCCTTCCGACCGATGCCTGCGTTGGCTCACTTTGTAATCCAAGTTACACATGCAGCTATTGTTTCGCTCACGGCTACACAGCTCCTACATACAAGCAACCCCTGTACTGTTTACATTTAATTTTTCCTTATAACTGTATTTTTTTCGTTACTACTACATAACAAAAAAGGTTTTTCTCACTGATTTGTTTTAAAAATAACAATTGCTTGTTTTCGCTGCCATAAACATAAGTCCATCTCGTTGATTTCCGTATGACACATGCTACTGAGTGAAAATATTTTTTTCTCGATGCATGAAACTATTTAAGCATGCTATACGAAAAAAAATCTTCCCTCCCCCCCCAAGTAAAATTAAAAGCTCTTCTCCTTGGGAGAAAGTCACAATTGAGTTATTCGAATGTATAGTATTATTAGCAAAAAGGGTACTGACTCGTCCTTGTCCTTGTGGCAGTTGGTGAGGGTCTTGCAGAGATTGGGATCGGGGCAGAGGTCGAGCGGGGTCTGGCCCTTTTTGTTCTTGAGTTCGAGGTCGGCGCCGTGGGCGGCGAGGAAGCACGCGATGAACGAGCTGCTCTTCTTGTCCTGGCCCTGGGTGCCCAGTCCCATTAACAGCCTGCCCACGTCCTGGACGTCCTGGAGCTGGCGCAGCTGGGACAGGGTGTGGTGGCGCAGGGCCTCGTGCAGCGGTGTGTCCCCGTCCTTGTCCGCCACGTTGAGGTTCGCACCCTCGCGTACCAGCAGCTGCGCGTTTACCAATGCGGGGCAATAACACATATTTACTACGTTTATTTTTGTCGTACTCTCGGCGCGAGTGTTATTAAGTATTTATAACCGACGTCATCGTGGTTTTTGGTGATTACAAACGGGAGGTTGTTAAAAGTGGTGAAAACCATACGTGTACACAAGCTCGGGTGGAAAAGTGTGAAAGTCGCGGAATTTCAGGTTTTTCACCTTTTGTGATTAATGAGAGTAAAAAAAAAACAATGTGCCAAAGCACTGTCAAGGTGCTTAAAATGATAAAAATTGTAGAGAAATTCCAGCGAAAATTACCATTCGGCACAGTACATCGGACGCAAACTGGCAAATGAGGAAAAAAATTATCATTCAACTTTCCCGCAATTATTTTACCCTTTTTTTCTCCAGCTTGCATTCGGTTCACCGTAGCAGATTTATTATTGTTTACTTAATTTTTTCTCTACAATTATTATTATCATTTTTTTTCTCTCGGTACGTGTAAGCTTGTAAACCAATGTCGGTAAAAAGGGTCCAAAAGTAACGAAAAATTGAGCAAATGTTCAAAGCGCGTGCACGTAAAATGAAGAAATTGCATGAAAATATATAGGCAGTATACGAGGTAGGTACCCGAACGATCTGCGTGTGTTGACGCTCGACCGCGAGGTGCAGGGCCGTCTGCAGGTTGACGTTCTGCAGGTCGAGATCGGCCTTGCCGGTCCTCGCGAGCTGCTCGGCGACCTCCACGTGGTTGTTGAGCGCGGCCAGGTGGAGAGCCGTGTAGCCGTCGTCCTTCTTCTCATCGACTATCCACGGCCGCGGCAGCTTCGACAACAGGACACGCATCGCGCTGCAACAAAGAAAAAACAATACGTTAAACCATCAACCAACACTCCAGGGGGGGGGGAGGGGACACGCCGATTCGGAGCATCATCCTACGACTCCAATATGTCTTATACATGTATAACGTAACACGAGGTGGATACATGCACCCATCATGTATGGGGAAGACGGAGAAACATGTGCTTGATCACCAGTAGGTGTATATAGCCAGCTCCAGATGCTGCACGTATGCATGGGGGGGGGGGAGGACCCACGGCATGTGGTAGCTCATACACACAGAGGAGGAGGAGGAAGATGAGAATTAAGCTCCTTCTCGCGCGGGGGTCTCTCTGTATACTTTTTTCCTTCGCGCCTGTTGCGAGCATTTCGTTTGGACGTACACCCAAGAAACACATAATTGTCCCCTTTTCCGTATACCACAGCACGCAAAGAGAAGTGCATCGGAGGAGAGTCGCGATTCTCTTGGCCGCGCTCCATCGAGCATCGCAACTCACCACATATTACATACATACACATATATAGATGTAGGTATTTACAAAGTGTGTGCGAGAGAGCGTCATGCACAGGATTTGCTTGGGTGTATATATATATAGGTACCTATGTAGAAAAAAAGAGAGAGAGAGGGCTCCCGCGCTCCCGTATGCGTGACGCTATTTCCGGCCCCGATTATCGGCACTCCTTCCCGCGCTCTCTCGCGGTGTAGCCGACGTCGCCGGTCAAACTCTCCGGCTCCGAGTGCCTGATGGGCTTACGTATACCTACTCCCGACGACGACTGACGGCATCTTACGAGGTAGGTGTATATACTCTCGTTACATACCTGCACCTATACGTGTACACCTATACTGTTGCTCGTTGCGCCCTTTTTCCCCTCATATCCCTCGATTTTTCATTGGTACATTTATCGGAGCAACGATTGTTTTGTTTACTATCGTTTGTAACGCGAAAGGTGCGGGGTTGCGTGTCCAAGGTATAGGTACGCGGACGTGTTGTGCCGCACAATACATCATGTATTAACACGTCAGTGATCGGCTTTTCGTTACAAAGTACCTTATACACGCCCCCTCCGATGTGGATCGGTAGGTGTACCATACCTAGTGTACGAGCGGTATTACAACGGATGGCAACTGAACGGGATGACTAGTGCGACATTGCACGAGATTGAGTACCCCGTGTGCAATCGATGCGGCGCTCAATGCGTAAAATGTTTAAAAAAAAAAAACGAACGGGCCAAGTGAAAATGTCTCTATTGTCTCTTTTTTTTTGTGAGTGCTCTCGTATATATATATACACGGGCAAAAGCCATCTGCACACGCACGCTCATGCGTGAGCGAGAAAGCTCTCTCTGCGTGTTACCAAAGAGTATATTTCACCACCGGAAATAACCGAGACGAAGCTGCACGTGTAGCAGCGGTACAGAAGCGACGTCTCCTCTCGGCGAGTTTTTCTCGTCCCCGCCTCTTTTTTGCTCTCCTCTGGCTCGTCCTATACACATCGGAGGCGGGGAAACTGGAGACGACGACGACGACGCGGCGTTTATTACCCCTGGCTTTCGGAAAAGCCGTGTCTATTTAAAAATTTAAAGGCCCGTTTGGTGTACTCTCAACTATATGCTTATTATAGATCTAGGGTTTTCTCCTCTTTTTTTTTTTCTTTTTTTTTTTTTTTTTCTCACAGCGTGAAAATTGATGATCATTCCGGATTCCTTTGCTCCGTGTTTCCGGAAATCGTCACGGACCGTGAATCTTAACCACTCGAACTCCTTCACCTATTCGGTCAATTTATAATTTGTTTGCAGGACTTTGAGAAGGACCCGATGAAAACACCTTTTTTTTTATATCTGTGCACAACGCATTGTGCGGTAATGATTATTTACTGCAAGCTCAGCAATCAGGCGTGTATTTCTCACAGGTCTACAACACACTCGTGCTAGTGGAACGAGGTTTGTCCTGTTTTTTTCGAAAACGTCTTCTCATCTTTTTTAACGACCAGAGCAGCTATTTCCCTTTGACCGTGTATAAAATATGATACACAAATGCTCGTTTCACCTTCGTTATTTTGCACCGAGAACCAATGTAAAATAAGAAGAGAATCAGATTTTTTGACGAAAGCATTTTGACAGCGTTTAAAAAAAAAAAAAAATTTAGTATTTGTAGTAAAAGTATTTGTGTGTTTGTGGCCTCGTCAAAAATGGCTTTGTGAATCCCGTGGATGCGGAAACGGTAGAGAACCGAGCACCATCCAGATCAGCGGAGAGAGTAAACGCGATACAAAAATACCCTCGCTCGCTTTTTTGCACACTTGGTTGTAACGACGACCCCACCACCGTTGTACACATATATTCCTACCCGGGAAAGCGTAAACAACGAGATAAATCGAAATCAAGAGGACAACATATATATATACAATTTACATACCGCTGCCCGTACGTATATAAATAACGCAGGTAAATCAGTTACTCGCTTGATTAATAAACGGCAGAGCACACGTCAAACCCTTTTTTTTTTTTTTAATTTTCCCTCGCGGCTCTTAACACATCCTGTACATATACATTATAATATGTATATACTTGTAAATCTAGTTATGTCATCGCCACTTCTACCCCGAGCCGGTTGTTGCGTAACACGGGCGCTCGCTCGTTACCCTCGATATACATTACAATTACATACCCACACCCTCGAAACAAAAAAAGCACATTGCCCAAATTAACGAGGAGTATTCGTTATTTCAAATGAAAAATTAATTCCGGTCTCTTTGTTTCTTTCAGCGACACGCGGTGACAACGGAGGAACGAAATTTCACCAAATAACGCCACTCGGCCGCTCGCTCATCCGGGCGATGAATAACAATTGCAAGTGACGCAAGGGCGGGACGCGAAAACAATTAATTTATCCGGCATGACCAAACGCGTTGGTGTAACATGGGAGCGCAAGCTCCCTGAGCTTTCCCGTATACATCTTTGGGCCGTCCCGTTGCTTACGGAACAAACCCGATGGGTGTGTGTATTCATAGTAACGAGAGTTTGGAGGCTCGGAGGAGTTTGCAGATACAGAAAAAGATCGAGAAAGAGCAGAGGCGCGCGCTCGCGAGGAGGCGAGGCCAGGAATAGCCGGGGCGCGATGGCGGAGCCGTGGGACGCTCGGCATCGCACATAGCCACTCTATTTTCGGATAAGGACAAATTCAGCGCGAGACACGCTTTTCTCTCTCTCTCTCTCTCTCGCTCGCCTCCAATGGTGTACTATATTGCACTCGCCTCCCGCTTGGCCACGCTTTATTTCTCTCTCTCTCTCTCTCTTTGCCTCCTACTGTTTTTGCTTCTACTTTTTCTTCTTTTCGAGTCAAGTGTAAGCTTACACGCGGCAGGCAAATGAGCCGAGCTGGAGAGAAAGAGAGAGGGCACACCAACACAAACAGCCCTGGCGTGCAGCTACACCAAAGCAAAGTATATAACACATGACACAGACGCGGGTAAAATGGTATCGGCCATTTTTAGAGGGCTATACGTACAACCGGCAACAAGCATCGGCATTAGAGGGACAGGGGAGAGCCGAACCGGAGTCGCACTCGGTGGCGAGCTAGCCGGCAGATTTCGGCATTCAGTTCGGGGCGATCGTTCGAGCAAGATCTCAAAGACCCGTGGACCGGCCGATCTCTGGATCACCGAGCGCAATCGTGGATTTTATTTTAGTGGCGGACGCGTCCAAGTGACGGATTGATCGGAGGAAAAGAAGGACCCTGGCAGCAGCCGAGCGACTGTTCCGTGCTTCTCTACTTCCCATAGTGTATATGAGACGTATGGAATGTAAAGAAGTATGGAGCCGCGCTCAGGCCACTCGTCGCCGATCCTGTTTCTTCAACCCCGTGGACGGCCCGACCGGCGATATACCGATCACTCGGCTCCTAGGTAACCCAAGGTGTACTCTTTTCTTTCCTCCCTTTTCTTTTCTTTTTCTTTTTCTTTTTTTTTTTTTTTACTCTATCTAAAAGGCAATAACGCATGTACATACATTCAGAGAGACGGAGCGGGTTAAAAATTAAAAAATGAAAGATAAACGGGTACGCGGTATAGGAGTATAGAATAAGCAAGCAGTGAACACAAAAATATAGGAGCACAGGACGTAGTCGGCACGCGCTCTCCCGAGATGTATATAAACCAAAGGCGCGCGCCGTATGGACGCACACACGCCGAGAGTCGGAATTCCAGATATAGCTTCTCCGGTTACAGGGGCTATTTCTGCTCCTCCGGCCTTGCCTTCTTATTTCACCGCCACCGCTACTCGTCTCCGGTGTACTTACACATGTATTTTTTATTTTTATTTCTTCTCTTTCCGTCGTGCGTAGCAATTGTTTTTACGGATAAAATCGGTAACGATCGATCCCGTGAATAAGCTGCCGATCGGCCGAACCGCAACAGTGGGGGTGATGTATACGTGCACAAGAGCAAAGTCAAAGTTCTCTCCACTCGATAAATCCATCATCTAGGGGATGACGGTGCGTACCGCTCGTCTCTCTTATACCCTGTGTCTACACTGTACGCCTGCACTCGGCAGTTTTCGCACGTAAGCGAAACGTCAGCTATTCCCTTTTCCTACATTACTAATATACCGGCCGCTTATCTTTTGCCGCGGCTGTCCAAACTTTGGCCGCTCCGAGCTTTCCTTGGCTCCCTTTCCAATTCGATCGACCGGAGTCGCGCCTCGTTTCGCGGATGGTAGGGATGGGGGCGCGATAATTGTACAGAGGCGCGATAAAAAAAAAAAAAAGGTCACCCGATACACGTAGTAGTGGAGGTCGAGAGCGCCTTTTTTTTCTGCGCCTCGTGGGGGCATGCCGCGAATGAGCGAGCGGACTCCGCGTCTATACACATGGACCGGCTTTTTTGCTCCTCGAGACAAAGGCTCCGTCGACCTGGAATTTCCCGGGGCTCGATCGGCAGGACGATCACGCGCCTCCGACTTTGCGCCCCGGCTAATCAGAAAAATCCACACCCACCACCCCCGTAAACG